ATAAGCAATGAAACACACTAAAGAAATTATGCATTTAAGGTTGGTTAGGAATTGTTGCAAAAAAATGCTTTATTCATTCACTTCATATGTATTCACTTGAAAATTCCAAATCTGCACTCTTTCATAAAAGCCTGCCCTTTTACATATGCATTTTTCCAAAGCTAGGTAAATGCAATATAGCCTTTAATACACAGTAAAGAAAATATCTGTCTTCTCAAATGAGAAGCTGGAAAGAGTATAAGATGTTATAAAGCATCTTGATACCAGTAACTTAAATCCCCAAATGACAGTAGAGCAAAGCATGTCTGCTTAAGAAGAAGAAAGTAAAAAGGTAGCCTGTTTCCAACTTTAGCCTGCTTTTGATGTCATATTCACTCCATCTTACTTTGGATGCAGCTTCTGCAGGAATTAACTGCACAGAATGAGTTCTTAGGTCAGAAAAAAATGTTGAGTACCTCAAATTATGCCTGTTTTTCTTTTTTTCCTCCCTGCTCCTCCAAAATGTGTCAGTTGGTATAAAGAGAGACATTGTCTCTCCCTATACACGTACCACTCACATCTTTAAACAATCACAGCTGTAGCATCATAAAGAAGCAGTTGTCTGCTAAGGATAATTGAGTTGTTTTAGGACAGTAAAAAAAGGCCTGAACATATTATAAAATCCACTGTCAATAACAAACATTTCCTGAATATCTAATCAATTAAAGACAACAGAGATCTTACAGCCTTTTATGTTTTACAAAACAGTGTAGGACAAAAAATATAAAATTCTACAATGACAGTTCCATGCATTCGTAATAATGTCCAGCTATGATAATCTCTGTCTTACCTCAGCATCCTGTTTAAAATTCTGAAGAACAGGCTATCCTTTTTCCTGGTCCATACTCACACATAAAAAACCTCAAAAAATTCATGAGTCAAAATTCAAGTTTCAGTCCAACAGCAACTGAAGTAACAGAGAAAATGCCTTTGAAGTAAATAACATTTGGTTCTTTGATTTTAACCTCAATCTGGATTGATTTATTAACTGTAAGTAATGATCAAGTCCTAGCTGCCAAATATCCATTCTTCTCCTCTATCCTTCTTGGTATATTTTGTCAGTACCTTTGTGATGAAGAACTCCAAATGTGTTTATCAACACTTACAGAACAAAATTTGGCACTATTAGGAAACCCCTTCTGTTGGAAATTCTTTTTTTAATCTCAGTGAAAATACCATTTCTCAACATGATTCATCCGACAGCAGAGCTCCTCAGGGTACACACACACACAGAATTTGTCATGAGGCCTAGATGTGGATTAGTTAGTGGTATAATATGGCTGCTATGTGTTAAATCAAAAATCCTCAAATATTTTTAATCCTTTCATTGCTCCCTTGTCTTATCTCTTCTCAAATTGCTCAAAAGAAAATTTTCTAGGACAAAGATCATCTTTTTCCAGTGTGGTTACGGTATCTGGAACAGTGAGTGTCAAGCACTTGAGAAGAATTTCTGGCTATGGCCCTCAAAAACAATAATCATTCTTTTTACCTATAAAATCCTCCAATATCAGTATACCAGAATATTTTTTATAATTTATCACACGTACACACATCTCTTTTTTTTCTCAAAAAGCTCAAATGAATCACTCCTGCTAGTAATAGCATTAAAGCCATTCTAGCTCAGAGGTAATCTTGCACCTGAAGCACTGTGTATTTAAAATACTTGAAAGGCAATTGGGAGATGAAATTTGTTCATCCAATTTCCGACTGCGCAGAGAAGAAATTTAGCAAAATTTGATGGTGTTTGAAGGGCCATGGCAGAAATGAATAGGAAGCAACCCCTGCCCAGTAAAGAGCATTATCAGGAATAGAGAGCAGCCTGTGACACGTATATAATTAGAGAAATTGGAGGCTTTGCCCATGAGACCATGTGTTCCACAGTAAATCCTATTTCCTTCACTCTCCCTTTCATGGATATGTGTAAATCATAAAAGTCTATGTATTTTCTTTACATATAATATATCAGTTTCTTTATTTATTTTCCAATATTGGTGTTAATTGAATTCACCAAACAAATAACAAAAAAGAATCATACCTCACATCTTTTCAGACCAACTGAGTACCAAGTCAGAAACTACGTAAGGAGACCAAAAGACCAAATTTTACATCTTGCAGGTGTCTTACATGATGGCTCATTTCCTCCCATAAATATAAGTCATTAGCTTTTTTTTTTTAATCTTTTTTCCTTGTTAAAAAAGTACAAATAAAACTGAGAACAAAAAATGTCTGATGTAGAAGCCCAAATCATAAGGAGGAAGAAATTAATTCACCAACTTCCAAATTAAAAAAAAAAAATCTGTTGGTTCTACTTCAACGTCAGGAAGTGAACATCAAATAAACCAAGTTTATAATAAAATTCTAAAAATAATTCTGGAAATATTAGGGCTGTCACTGGCATGGCACAGAGCTTAGCTCTATTACCTATGAAGCACAACAGTAACCTCAGACATACGTAACAGGAGAAGGAAGCAATCACTCTGAAAAAGACTCCTCTATGATAGGGAAAAACAAATTAGGCCTGAGTTTCCATAGTGATACAGCAACAAAAGGCTGCTGCAATTTCCAGCTGTCTACAGTGAGGCAGTAACAGAGCAAAGGGACTCAAGCCCCTTCTCTGTAAATTGGGATTAGCATACTCAGAATTATCCATTAAATTTTAGTTCCGCACTATAACGAAAATATTGAAGGAACTGGAAGAGGAAGAATAATAATAAAACAAGAAGTTCCGCAAGAAGCAAAATTACTAAATGCTATGGATTTGGATTTCATGGTTGGATTCTCTGGTATCTTAAAAATGCAAATTCCAATGAGTACTTTCTCCTATTCATCTCCTCTGTGGATTCTCTGATGTTTAATAAGAAATGATCTCATACTATAGCCTGTCTGCCAGTGGGAACACTAATGGGTCTCTTGCCCATCTGGCAGCCTGTTTTCCCAAAACTTACAGGAATTCCTGTCCAGTGATGCTGAAACTGGCCAAGAGTTAAGAAGCTATTGAAGGAGAAAAGAGAGGAGAGGGATCAGCAGCCATACAAACACCTAGGCTAGTAAGTAGACAGTGTGATCATACAAGCTTTACTTCCTTGGGAAACTGGGATAATTATCAAAGGACTGAAAGATTCACTTATGATGAAAGTCCAAAGGCCCCAGAGTGGAAAAATACTTAAAAGGTAAAGTGGCCTGTTGGATTTAGGGCTGAAAGAACCAAACATGATAGCTAGGTTGACACACAAATGATGAGGAATGTTATAATTCACAGAAATATAAATGTTAGTCAGGGATGATGAGGATTTATTTGTACCAAGAGGAGTTATTACTAAGCAGAATTGCAACTGGGAATTGTGGGATTAAATAAAGGAAAGCTTTAGGCTAAAAATCAAGGAACACTGTAAGTGAGAGGAGTCTATAAAACAGTTTTGAGACATAGGAAATGGAAGCTCCATGATTTAAGAAAATTAAAACAAGAAGAAAGCAAAGAACCTGTTTCTTATAGAATAATGCATGGATGGTAAGATTAGCTGGAATGTCTAACTGGTCTTTCTTTTCATTTATCAGTAGATTAATAACACAAAATTCTGCACTAATAGATAATATAAAAAACAAAAATAGCTACTCTTTGTGAGTCCTTATCCAAAAGGCTGAAACCAGACCTAATATATATATATATATATGTATTGATGTGCCTTCTTCACACATTACTTATATGATATATCAAAAATAAATACAATATTATCCAGGTAATGATTTATAGAGAGCTATTAAAATATCTACTTTTATACATAATGTGATCAAAGGTCCTCTGTATTTGTATTAGTGAAATGTTTTGAAACAATACTGAATAGTTTGGGCTTCCTTGTTACTGTTTTCTAGTAAAACATTAAATAATCAAAATGCAGAAAACAAATTACATTACAGAGTATGTTTGATGTAGCAACTTCTAACTTTCATTTAATATAGCTGAGCTGCAATGACTAATGCTGCCCATGGCCTGTAGTACAAAGACCTAAAAAAGGTTCCAGACTAGATTACGTCCAGGCAGGTCCCATTTTAACGGAAATTGGAGAGATGAGAAAAAGATTATAGGAGCACACATTATAAAAACAGACCTCACAAGTCAAACTTAATAGTGGAACCATTCTCTTTCATGTAGACAGCCATGAAAACAAATATCCTGTAAGCACGAGATATATATTGTATCTTTCTACCCGATCTCTTTGCCTCCTTGAGACAGATTCCCATTCATCTCATGACTATATAATTTGATCATAGTTGAGTAAGGCACAGCAAGGGAAAGGGTCTGTCTGATAAAGTATCAGGCTCCAGGACGATAGATAAACAATTTCATGATTTCCAGTTGTAACAGGAATGATACAGTGCTGGATATTAAGATATTAGTCTCGTAGGAATACAACTATCAAGCCTCTGCATTTTCTCTTACTAAATATGCTTTATTTCCATTAAGTAAAAATGACAGACTGATTCTGATAAACTAAGGCAGGCCACCAGAGCAAAATTCAAGGCGCATGTGAAAAGTGAAATGAAATTTTTGTATTATTATTTTTCAATGTGAAAGTTAGTATATAACTTTTATTAGTGATAAAACAGTGCAAGGATGTTTCTTTCTCAAGGGGCATCTTTACTGCAAAAAACATTCTTTAAAAGTAAGTGAAACAGTTGCCTATCAATTTGCTTCACATTTAAACCTCCTCTTTCACAGGGGACACGTTGGCAAGCAACTCCTCTGCTACAAGTCACTGGGGAAATGCCTGTTTGCACAGCTACCCCATTGTTCTACAGGTATTAAATGAAGGCTTGAGTGATAATATTTGAACAGCTATGATGGACTTCTTTTTCCTATATTAACACACATATTTGGTTAGAATGCAAAAGCACAAATATTGGCAGCCACTATTAATACCAGTTTTGTTAGTTGGCAAAAATTATACTGCCTTTGCAATTACCTCCTGTCTTGGATAGCTGAAAAGCATGGTCATACCCACTCCTGCTGATACCTGCTTTTATTTATAAAAAAAAAATCAAAGAACAAAGATACATTTTAAAGAAATTTTTAGTTGCAAACCTGGGGTGCCATCTTCTTTATTAAAGTAAACATGTTCTGGAGTAAGCAATTTTTGAATTTCTAATTTATTATCACTTACCTGTGATTCCTTCACGTTTTCCACGGTGAAGTTGAACCAGACTCGGAAGCGAGGGTTGCAGGTGTCTGGCCTGATGAAGAGGTCATACTCAAACTCTGAGACGTGGTCCACCCTGCCAAGGTTCCCTACCAAGAACAGATGAAACAGAATGAGTTTTAATGAATGCCTGATCAACTCTCCAGGAACAACACTGAGAAAAGTTCTTAAAACTTCTGCCTCCATTTGTTGCAATACACAAGTAAAATAGGCCTTACAAGAGTTCACAATTATTTTTTAAAGGTAGCTCAGAATTATTTTTAAAGGCGTCATTGTAGTCAAGATAAAATATATAGCAGTAAGCTGCATGCATATGAATACATTAAAAATAAGACAACAGAGATTTTTATTATTCAATCAAATTGACCTTTTGTCTCCTCTTATCTGAATACTCCAATTACGTGTTCTAACATCCTTTTAATTGTTTCCTTTATTCCTTTCTCACTTTTCTAATGATGTCTCAGCAAATCTCTTAGTCCCCACCTGTTAGGATTTCTTTCTTTCCAGCTGTTGCTCATGTTCATGTAACATTAAAGAGTCCCCAGATTTCTGCCTGGCCCCTCTGGCTGTTGCTCTAAGCATCCCTCTCTCCCCACAGATGGTCCAGCCTTCATCTCTTCTGTGATTCAAAAAACCATCTCAATCCCTTTCCTTCACCACTTACAGCCACTATCACCTCCTTCCAAAGACACAAATGAGATTTTGCTTCAGCTTGTTCCCAGTGAATTTCATGGAATAGTATTTTTAACTATAGTCAGAGCTACATTGTCCCCTATGGCATTATTCAGCAGGCAACGACACCGGCTATAGAAATGAAGTTCAGCACTGGAAAAACCCAGTAAGTGCTTTTAAATTGCTAAAATGGCATTTTTCCTTTGAAGTGTGCCAAGATTTTTAGAGACAGGGTTTAGACTGTCCATTTCATTTATACACTACAAAAATAAGACTTTACTTTTCCTGATCCAATCCAAAACCCATCTCATCTTGTAAGACAGGGCCATGTTTTAGCTCACAGGCTAAATTATATTTCTTTTTTAAAAGTAGCACTGAAAATCTGGGTTTATGGTGTCAGATCTATTTCTGGGGTTAGATATATCTTCTTGGGTTGGAAATATACTGTTGGGTTCTAATGTGTATTTATAAGGTTGTTTGAGCCAAATGATTCCCTCTTCAGCAAGTCCCACTGCAGTCAATAGGACTGTTCTCTGGCAACACATTGCTCAATACCAGCATGAGCAGCAAAATTCAGCTGATCTGCTGCTCTGGGCTGGAAAAGAAGAGGGAAAAAGACATTTTTAATTCTGTTTATCAATACAGTTCCAGGATTTCTACCTTATCCTAAATTGTTTCTGGCTTTACTAATGGAACATGCTTAATCTTCTCTATTTTTAATGTTATCCTCTACTTTCCTACCCACATCCTTCTTTTCAGAAGAAAATTCTCTCCACTGCTTCCCTCTGCAGAGACCTGCTCCACGCTCTCAATCTGTTCCTGAGGGCTTGCCTCAAGGAGACACTTGGCATTGGAAATATTTGGAAAAACAGCTCTATTGCAAAGCCAGGAGGCCTCTGCCAAACACAAATAATGTCACCAGCCGTGGTGGGTGCCCGTGCCCAGGTGCTGGAGTGGGTTCTTGGGGAGGCGCCACTGCCCCTGCCCCTTGCAGCTCATTCTTGACACTCCCAAATGGCTCCAGAAAGCCTCACCCATGGCCAGCCCAGCCCCTCAGCCCAGGTGGTAAAAATGAAGGGCAAATCCTACACAGGCAGAGGGGTGAGGGAGCCTGAGGGGAACTGAGGAGGAGGGAAGGGGATGCTCTGGGAGCCAGGACAGAGAGCCCTGTGTCCTGTGGGGAGAGGCTGGAGCAGGATGGTGTCTCCTGGAGCAGCATTGACCCACAGATGATCCAGGCCAGAGCAGGTTGGTGTCCCCTGGAGCAGTATTGACCCGCAAAGAACCCAGGCTGGAGCAGCTTGGTCTCCCCTGGAAGAGCAATGGCTCACAAACAACCCAGGCTGGAGCAGGTGCTCCTGACAGGACTGCGGCCCTGGGAAGGGAAAAGGCCCAGAGTGGAGCAGGAGAGCAAGGAAGGAGATCGGCCCTTGCCTCTTTCACAGCTCCTTGTGTGGGGAAGATGATCCTGGGAAACAGGGAAGGGCAGGGAGAAGGCGATGGTTTAGTTTCTCTTTGATTTTCACTATGCAAAGCTATTTTAACTGGCAATAAATGAGTCTCCTCAGAGCAGAGTGTTCTGCCTGTGTAGGCCATTGGTGAGTGCCCTCCCTGTCCACATCTCCACCCAGGAGCTTTTTCACCTCATTTTCACCTCTCTCCTGCTGAGGAGTGGGGGTGAGAGAGCACTGAGGGGGCAAAGCCATCCCACCAATGCTCCTTGTTTTATTTTTCATTAAATGTCATGCATAAATGACATAGCTGGGATAATAATATTCCTTGGATATTTCAGGATTTAGGTAGTCCAAGGTACTCATCCCAAAAGTTTAGATTCCAGTTGCGTCATAGGTCACAGATTTAGATCTCTCTGGACAAAGTTTGCTGTGCGAATTCACTTCAGCCTGAGCTGTGCATGTGATCCTGGCAGAGTCTCTAGGGTTAAGGCAGCAGGCTGCATGAACACAGATGGTGGGCTTGGTCCATCTTGTCAACTAATAAACTAATATACATGCCTCCCAGCAATCCCAGCAATTCCAGACATGGATTATCTGCAGCACAGAGCAGAGGTGCAAATTTTGATGGAATTACTCCCAAAGAAGGACACAGAAGCAATTAAATTCATACTTAAAGTTCAAAGACCATTAAAAACTTGTACTGCAAGGCATAAGAAACTAAAAGATTATTAAGTGAATAATTAAAACAGAGCAAAATGAGACCTTGATTTTGACCTTTTGCACATTTCAGTTTCTTTTTCAACATCAAGTTAACCTGAATTGGATAGGGAACAGATGACCCAGAACTGCTTTACAGGGTCCTCAGGATCCCTAAACTAGCACTGGAGAATTGTACTGATGTCAGAGAATCATGGATGCTGAAGAGCTGGTGTGCTGAAGCAATGCCATCCAGTCTGCTCTGGAAAACCCATCTCAAACCCAGCACAACCCTTTAAAATGTAATCATCTGTGTGCTTGACTCCTCAGGAACCCCCACATGGTTTTCTCTCTTGATTTGAATACTCCCTTCCCTCCTAAGGCACTGGGGCTTTTTTCCTTCTGTGAGTTTATTGGTTTATTATTAGTTTTTGCCTCTTACCAGGCACACATCAGCTGCCATTGTCACCTGCAGCCCTCTGCAGTTTGGTGTCATTTGGACATTTCATTAGCCCACTATTTCTTCTCTGTCTTCCAGATGCTAAAGAGGCTGGACTGAGCACTAATGCCTCCGGTAACTAATTCAACAAGTTCCTCGTGCTCAATAGACTATTGTTTGTAATACCACAGCCTTTGCTCACAATCTGTCAGCCTAATTTCAGCCCACATAGCAATGTCATTAAACAAGACAGCAGTTTTGGTACAAAGAAGCCAAGAACTGTAGGAACAAAACACCTCCTCACTTGAAGAGATGCTTTGTAGAAAACTGATAATGCCACCGAAAAACATTTCTTGGTGTCCAAGCAAGGATTTAAATTTCCCAATGTTAATCTCATAAAAAAAAAAAAAACTTCACAGTTTTTTGTTGTGCCTTCAGAGTGCTGTTATCATGGCAAATGCATTTATTCTAATGGATGAGAATTATATTCCAAAACCACAGGTCCCACAGTGACATGTATTAGGAACTATGGAACAGGAATTTAAACATTGATTACAGCATTCCATTTAGAAATTAAGCCATTTTAACATTTTAACACTCAAAATAAACAATTTTTTTCTTACATGCAAACCACCTCTAAACTATTTTTTTTAATACATTTTAATTCCTTTTTTATTTCTTGCCTTTTTGCTAAATACACAGCAAGAGAGAAAACAATTTAATAAGTGGGTAGACAGCAAGTTCCTCCTGTGTCCCAGGAATTTCTGTGCAATTCCACAATGCATACACTGCACCTGCAGCCAACACTTTCTGTGCTGAAAATGTGACAAATGTAAGAGAAAGCCAGATAGCACCAATTTTGTGAAATGAACCTTTCAACAGTTTCCAGTTATGATACAACTTCTGTATCACCCCTCATGTGCACAGTTCTTATTCTGTGTACATCGCTAGTCTGATCACTTGTGGCATCAGTAAGAGAGTCTGTTCACAACCTCATTGGTTAAGTATCTTCTTCTAAAATCAGAGAAAAAGTCTCACACCACTGAAACATCAGCTTTGCTTTACTTCACTTTGAGTTCATGCCCATGTGAACTCATCACTACTCCATTCCATAAATACAGAACTTGTATATATGAGAGTATAGAGCACTCTTCAAAGCCTCATCGCGTCATATCTAGTGATTAGCACTATATTTGGGGGTTAAGATTATAAAACACAAGATATTAAGGTTATTTAAGGTACATGTATGATTAATGAACTGATTAATGAGACCTGCCACAGAAAAAAAAAAAACCCAACAACACTGTAAGCAATAAAATTTGAACAGGTTGGCATTCTAAGACAATCCTTGTTTAACATTTTTTAATAATTTGGGTGCACATCTGTATGCAAATGACTGTCTGACTACATCTTAAAGGTAAAACAAGTAATTTATTAGGGTAGCCAGCACTTTGCTAAAAATTTTGGACTTTTTCTCCTATGCACTCTGAAATTAGTTGTGGGGTTTTTTTTCTATTATTATTTTACTTTACAGCAATATTAGCATGGATCTTTTTAAACTGATGGGAAGATGTGAACAAATCACATTCCCAAATGTCTATAAACTGACTTTCACTTAGCCTTGGGGTTTGTTTTTAAGGCACGCTCAATTTTCAGTCACAGTTCTGTTCAATACTCTTAGCATTCTGAGAAAAGAGGAGACATACTTTCCTTTAATCATTCGAGCTGAAATTCTTAATTATATTTGCTTAAATTACTTCACAGAGTAATGTTTAGTGCAATGCTCTCAAAATGTGAATAGTGAAAGGGGTCAATAGCATGTTTCAAG